AATAGTTTAAGCTATTTATTTTTATTAAAAAATATGAAAGATATATATCCAAAAACAGATAATAAATAGTAAAACGGTGCTGAGAGTTATAATGGACAGGAAGTAGTGGAGAGCCGTTGTCGTCAACAATCTGGACTTAAAACCCGCATTGAAGAATTAGCTATCAAACAAAATAATTCATCGAAATCGGATGAAAACTGTGGAAACACATAAACAACATCTACTCACACACACACACACACACACACACACAGATAGGCAAACACATTTTGAGAATTATATAGTTGAACAGTGTGGCACTGGGCGCAGATATGTACACATGTGCCGTTGAGTGTATAAATATGCAATTGGCCGCTGATTTTCGGTATTGGAATTATGTTCCCAAGTGGTGGGTTGGGAGGTTGGTGTCAACTTATAGACCATTCGTTTATTTTATTCACAGAATGATACTTTCTCTCACACACACACACACATATATGCATATGTGCAAGTACACATATTTACTATGGCATTTCAACAGTATCGGAAATTCTCAAGAATATTAGCAAGGTTATGAAACCTGATAAATGGGTTCCACATGAACTCAGTGAAATTCAAAAAGTTTGACGTTTTGAAGGGTGTTCCATGCTGCATCTGCGAAATTCGTGTGATGCATTTCTTGATCGAATAGTGATTTCTGATTAGAAACACATCTTTCTGCCAATCGTAAACGCAGAAATGTATAGATATTTGTAGTTCCTATTTTGACAGGTTGAAACACTGTTTAAATACATTAATTCTAGAATAAAAGTTGTTTCTAAAATCGGATATTAATCTCCGATTTTAGACAGAAGAAAAAATCTTAAATTGAAGAAAAAATCTTTAACCGAAAAAAAAATCTTCCAGTTTTTATTTACCCAAAGATGAATGACTTTATGCTATACACGTTCAAGCATGTTCCCAAACATCCAAAATATCTTCTCTGACCTCTTACTCCTTTCCCAGGCTATTGTAGTATCAACCAAATATGTCTATTTTAACGTTTCATTTGATTTAGATTGTGCTAAATAGCATGTACATTCTGAAATTTTGAGTGAACTAAATTAGAGGTAAATATTTTAATTATATCAATTATATTGTGCAACTAAATTAAAATCAGTAACTCGAATACAACAATTAAGCGTTTAAGTTGAGAAGCGTTTTAACAGGAGGCGAAAAGTACGATAGCGAAATACGAATGCGCATTGCAATTGCGAAAGATGACTTCCAAAATCTAAACAAAGTAAGACACGGGAAAAATTTCGTTAGTAGCAAAGAAAATAGTAATAAATTGTTACGTAATGTCAGTCCTCCTATGCGTCAGTGAATGTTAAACAATCTACTCACAAACGAAGATGTACAGAAAAAAATGGCGACCTAACCCGAAAGTCAAAACGCTTTCGTGTCGCTTGCTCCTTTTGCAGAAGAAAAAAAAAGGGAGAAAAATTCTTCACCGCTTAATGAGGTCATCGAAATCATTTAAATTAGATTTGGAATTGACTGCATAGAAAAATATGCTAGTCCATTTCTAGGCTCTACAAATAGAAAAACTAGAAAGGGTTCACCAAACTGCTATAAAAGCAACTGACTTTTTCCGACCAGGTAAAGATTTTTGAGAGGAGGCTGCGTGTGTATATATGGCGACTTTGATTTTGGGAGATTTTATCATACAGAAGAAGAGATTTCAAGCACCAGAAACACGGTTCTACAGAAGGATGCTGAGAATAACATGGACTGAACAAATAGAAACAACAAAAACATATACATAATATCAGAAAGAGAGAGTTGATACTTGTAGGTTATATAATGAGGAAAGTGGGCTTAGAAAATGTACACTCGCAGGGCATATTGAAGGCAATAGGGACTGAACATGACCTACTTAATAAGCTTCTGTAAATGGATGGCAGAACGGGGTTTAGGAGAGATAGAAAAAAGACAAAATTTACCAAGAGTTACAAGGGACAGGAAATGGTAGAGAGCCATGATGGCCAACGACCTGAAGTGACGTGGCACATAAAATAAGAACTCTAGGCCAAGTTGTTATCAGACGTGGGCCAACAGAAACACTATTTCTGGGCTATGTTTACCATCCTAATATAGTCTTACATATTCTTATGAATATTTGTGCGTAAGCATATAAGTGTGTGGGTGTTTGTTTGTCTGGGGCACTATCTGAAGATTCGATTAATGGGGAATATTTGCAAATTTCCGAAAGAGATGTATGTATTTGGATATTTTATTTTTTTCAGCTGTAATAGAAACAGCGATGTCGATTCTAATTTTAAGTACGAAAAATATTTACATATGTATGAACATTTTTATTTATAACTTTAGAAATTTGCATATTTCTCTTATAAAAAAAAACGAAAAATAAGTGATGTCACACATTAATCTTGGTCCAGCCGTAGAAAAATAGTAAGAACAGGGTTTGTTTTTTTTTTTCACCGCTTTTTAATCTATTCGCTACCACGTATATTTTTAACGTTTTAGAATTATAGCTCAGAACAAGACGAGTTATCGTCCGTGGTGACGAACAGATTAAAATCTCTAAAACACAAATAACATGTTTGTATTTTCTTAGACAAACCAAGACTCGAAAAAGTAAGTTTTCAACTAATGAACTATTATACTTGAAGCGAAATAGTCTATTTTAATTTAGCTTGTTTTTGTTAAGCTGTTTATTTCCTTGTTCCTCATTTATTTGTTAGAATAGCTTTTTTTCCTGACATTTTTTTTTTTTTTACCATGTTCCGTTTGTTTTCTTTCTTTGACAGTCTCGCATTGATTTGAGATGTCAAATCACGGATAACTGACATCCTTTATTTGTCGAAATAACAATGAATCCCAAACGAATGAACAGAAACAGGATTTTCTTTTCTTTCTTCACAAGAAAAGGTCAGGCAAAAAAGAAGACGATGGAAAAGTTCACAAAATAAAAATTAAAAAAAATATAATTTAATTTTTTCCTTAAAAAAAAATAATAAAGTTTTTTCACTAAATTAGCTGAAGTGGCATCGGAATGAGTTCGAGAAACGTTGTCAAATGGCAGCGAGCCGAGAAGCAGAATTAGTCAAGACGAACGCAGCAAATTGAAAATCAATGCGTTTTATTGGCAAGTCTTTAGTTCACAACCAAAGAGCACATAAGCCTTTTTTTTTTCCATTGTGTGGGTGTGCCTCAAGATGGGGGAACAGTCAGAGGTTGCTTGAAGGTGTGGAAGCGGACAACGATGGCAGACGACACTGAAGTGAAGAAAGGGAAGATGTACCGACTCGTGGCGTTCCAATGCTTCATTGTCTAATCAATTAAAAAAAAGTCTTAATGAAAGAAATAAAGAGAAAATTAAACATAGTTACCAAATCTTTGCAGGCCTGAACTCATTTAGATTTTTCAAACTTCGATTAATTGTTTTTTTTTCTCTTTTTCTTCAATGCAAGAATAAAAGTGGTCGTGTTTCTAAAACTAACTTGAATGTGGCAGTAATAATTAGGCGAAAAACTAGCAATGAAGAACTGTCTCATACATTAAAACATTCGTTTTTAAATTAACACTAGCAATAGAGCCCGGCGTTGCCCTGGATGTAACAGTAAGAGATAGATCAAGTATCGACCATCATAAAGACTGAAAAATAAAATTAACAAACATTATTGTTTAATGTTGACGGACACGCATGTCTTAATTAGTTTTTTTTTTTTTTTGTTGTTTTTTTACGAATTGGTCAAACCCAAACTCAAACAAAAACATTGTTTTCAATCGTTATGAGTCTATCTATTGAATATAATTTTATTATAAACAATTGTCTTGTAAATGGAATTTTTAAAGCATTCTGAATGTAAAAATAAAGAAAAAAGTGTGCAAGACAATAAGAAACACTACCTGCCAAAAAAAAAGTGAAGTTTTGTTGAAATTGGTTGAAAAATGTAGGAAATCAGATCCAATATATAAACGAACACACACACACAAACAACCTGGGTTTTATAATAAGTATAACTCGATATGAGTTTTCCCCCTTTCATTCTCGAAACAGCGATGCCTCTTAATCGTGTTTTCAAATTGATTTCGTGCAAAAGCAATTGTGTTTTTCCAATTTTTTGCACTGTCAGAACCACCGCAAGGTAATTTTACGTAACCGTGTGAAGTTTTGTGAATTCGGTTGAAAAATGTAGGAAATCCGATCCCATATATAAACGAACACACACACACACACACACACACACACACACAAACAACCAGGGTTTTATAATAAGTATAACTCGATATGAGTTGTCTCCCTTTCATTCTCGACAGCGATGCCTCTTAATCGTGTTTTCAAATTGATTTTGTGCAAAAACACTTGTGTTTTTCCCATTTTTGGCACTGTCAGAACCACCGCAAGGTAATTTTACGCAGTCCTGTGAAATTGTGTTGAAATCAGTTGAAAAATTTAGGAAATCCGATCCAATATATAAACGTACAGACACACACACACACACAATCTGCGTTTTATAATAAGTAAGATTACTTGAATTTTTACTTGACAGATGACTATAGCTGCAATGGAGCCTCTTAGTAGTATAATTGTCTGCAAGCTGGACTTGTAGGTTACTAATAATGAGTTTCAAGCCCCACTGATTGCGCTGTGTTTATGATCTTGTATCAAAATTAAGTTACGATTACTAAATTTCATCTAGGAATTTTATGGTGATTCTTAAGATACGCGGAAATAAAACATGAGATATACAGGAAATAAGTTATAAAATATTTCTTGGCATTTTCAGAAAAGAAATTCCTTTTCTACCGAAGCTTTATCTTAACAACAACTAGGGATACGTCTCCAGACAGAGACTATAACGTTTTCTTTGAGTTTCACGTCAACAGTGACCATCAGATGCTTATGATTTTAATAGACTGATGATTACGGTTTGAGATTGAAACACAGAGTTATTCTTATAGGCCGGTGTTTCTAGACGTGCTTCTCGTTGCTGCTACCATGATAGCTATACTTACGGTCTTATCACGAGGATTCACCGGTTTTCGTACGAACTTCGAAGTTAAGCAACATCGAGCCTGGTAATTACTTAGGAGGGTGAACGTTTGAGTATACCAGGGTCTGT